TAAAAAAGTAAATCAGAGCTAAATAAATGCAAAAACACAGGCAAATTTGCTTGTGTTGGCCTACAATCTAAGGGATAATATTTCATATTATATCTTCTTGCTTGCTCTAGATTTCTTCTGTTTCTAAATATTACTACTACAAAACCTTTATTGTTTTCATTTGTATTTTTAAAAATATAAATAGTTTTAGCTTTTGTATTTTTGATTTGTCTAAAAAGCAATATTTCATTTACTTCTTTTAGAATATTAAATAGTTTTAAAACATATAACTTTTAGCTTTTTAGAATTTCTTTTCAGTTTAATCCTGATATTATATATACTAGTATATTGTTTAATAATAGTATAGTCTATACTTTATTTTCTTAGTTATTTGATTACATTTTTTCAAATATAACCTCTGCTTTTACTTTCAAATATCCTTCCTAAATTATTTTAATATTTTTAACTTTTTCTAAATGTATTACTGCTTTGAAAACTTGTGTTTTTGAGATATGTAAAGGAATATATTATATAGTTATAGTTTTTGTATCTTTATATTTTCTGTTTCGAATCTTCTTAATATTAATTTTTTATAATTCTGTATTCTCTTTTTTAAATAGTCATTTATTATTTTTTTTATAATTGCAAGTACTTCTTTCTTCTTTATTTGTTTAATAGCTAAATTTCATTTTTTTATTAATTATTTTTGTAATATTATCTCTTATTTGTATCATTTTTTTTGTTTTTATACTATTTTCTTTATATATTATTTCTTCCTTTCTTTTGTCTTTAATAACTTTTTTCTCTACCTCTATATACTCTGTATTTAACTCTTCTCTTTTTCTTTATATTTTTTCTAATTCTAATCTAAATTGTCTTTCTTTTTTTATTTTACTTTTACTTTGACTTTTTATTACTTTTGTATCTTTTTGTCTACTTCTATTACTTGTATTTGCTTCTACTCTTGATATTTCTTCTAGTATTAGATTTAGTTGTTTTTATTCTTCTGTTATAGAATAGATTTTAGCATAATTTATATTATATTTTTATTAGTTATATTTATTAGTATTTTAGTATTATTTC